ACAAGATGTGGGATGTTACTGGAGATGGGTTCAAGTGCTTTGATGATATGGGATTATTGGAGGTTGCAAATCTTTCTCTAGATGAACCTGAGTTGGAAGCAATGATATTAAATGATGATGATATTGAAGGCCAAAGGTCAACATCTGAATTTAATTCTATCATTCACTTCATTGAGTAGTTGGACCTTCATATTGTACTTAATATTTTTTTGCTTATATTTTTGTGGTTGTATTAGACATTTTGTACTAAACATCTTTATATTATAAGCTAAACAAGTTATCATGAAATTGATTTATTATTGCTTGTTATTTTTACTATAATGTCACCTTAATTTCTATATATTATATTAAAAAAATTATTATGCCGTGTCCATCCGCACCTGTGTCCTATATTTTTAAAAATTGTCGTGTCCCGTGTCCGTGTCGGTGCATCCTAGATTTTTTAGTACTGAAATGGTCTTAAATGCGATTGTGCTATAAATATGAAGAATAAAGAAAAATAGCTTAGCTCTATAGCTTGCTTCATATACATGATCAGTTTGATGGTTTTCCCCCTTCAATAATAATTGTCTATATACCTACATTAAATTTAAATAAATCATTAAATATTTCCAATGTATGTTCTTAGAATTAAATATGTGCTTATCAATTCTTTGGGCTCTTGGGGTTAACAAGAAGTTTGAACTAGTTGATATATGTACAACTCTAACTTGAGGAAGAGTTAGTTTTGGATAATGTCAAGCTAGAAAAGAGTTCCATATTCAAAGAGTGGCGTGCGATTATTTGGTTATTCGCAATTATTCCTTATTATAAATAGATGGGTCATCTAGTAAGATATAAGATAGAGCTCATCTCTCTAACAAAATTTAAGTTTCACTAGTTTTTTACTAATAGTTTTTGCTCTAAATGTCCATCCATACAGATCTTCTATTATGCGCCAAAAATGGTGGAGAGTTGGAAAGGGCAGAAGCTTCTATCTAGAGCAGAATTTCATGCTGGAGCCCACGTGACAAAGTTCTTGAGATTGCAGATGTTGCCTACTTCTGATCGCATGAGTGCAACTCTTGGATCTGACAAAACTAACCGATTTGCTCTCCTGTTTAGCACACTTGATGGGAGTATTGGCTGTGTTGCCCCACTTGATGAGCTTACCTTCCGCAGACTTCAGACCCTTCAAAGGAAATTGGTAGATTCTGTTCCTCATGTATGTGGTCTGAACCCCAGATCATTCAGACAGTTCCGATCAAATGGGAAGGCACATCACCCAGGTCCTGATAATATAGTGGATTGTGAGCTGCTATCACAGTAAGTCATCCTACCATTTTCCATGTCTATGGAAGCATCTATAGTACTCTTCTGCTTTATTGCTCAAGTCTAGCAATTTTGTCACACTTAATAATAAATGAGAATAGGATCAAAATAAGCCCTTGACTCTATATGAAAGGCCAAAATAGTCTCCAACTATATTAAATGATTATTTTGCTCCCTCAACTTTTTAAGGAGGAATCAAAATAGTCACACGATGAGACTATTTTGATTCCTTTTTAAAGTCTTAAGTCTTGAAGGATCAAAATGGTCTTTTAATATAGTTGGGGATCATTTTAGTCCCATGAAAGAGTCAAAGGATCATTTGGTCATTTTCTCCTTAATAAATTTTCTGTTAGATTTATGATGCGCAGTATTTTGCTTCTATAGCTTACACTTGTTAAATGTTTGATTCCCTCCAACTAATTGATATTGACTAAGACATCAGTAGTATCATTCAGGGTTAAAAGCATGGTTTCCCCTTTAATGCAGCTTTGTATTTTCTTAGTTTTGAATTCATTACACTGCTCTCATCTAAATCATAAGCCCTTTATATTGTGCTTTAAACCTCATCTAAATCTTTCTTTATATCTTCATGATTAGCTTATGTGACCAGAACGCTTATGTCTATTGGTAATGGTTTAAACTCAACGGATACTCAATAAGTCCGGTATTGTTCTACTAGTGGTTGGCCCGTATCATAACTATAAAGTTTATTGGAGTAAGTTTATTGCCATGAGTATATTGGATCGATCATGGCATTTTATGTTCAGCGTTACTGTAACATAAAAGGTATATGTTACAAGAGTGGTAAGATCACTTTTATGAAAGTTTGGGTAACGGGAAAATATAATGATGACTCCCCATTGAGCGAAGATATATGTGAGATTTAGTGCAAATAGAATAATTAACAATTCAGTTTGATGTTTATTATTGTACGGATAGATGGAGTCCATCAGTTTGTATATTGGGCTCACTTGGGCTTCCTATCCATGTTATCTCGTACTCTCCAAAACATTTCCGGAATCCTTTTCCAGAGGACCGATAAAGCTGTAATTAAAGCGTGGAGTTGGCGTATATGTACCGCTTCATTCAAATTAGTGTTGTTTATCAAATTCAAACCATGGTTCTTTATTTGAAGGGAGGATGGGGTCGAACCTTTCCTATATGTGTTGGTGGGTTTGTAGTTAAGATCTAAAGCGTATATGCAGCTCTCAAATAAAGTAAGCTATTTATTTTTTTATTTTTAATTTTTGCCTCCGCTAAATTTTTGAGTCAATTAAGACAAACTCACACAAACATCACATACGCAAGCTTCAAACTCCAGACTTTTTAGTTGGTAGTCAAAAAATTTAGCCAACAAATCAAGATGAGCTGCTCTGTTAGAGTGTACCTATGACTTCATACAAATAGCATTATTTGCCTTTTCTTTTGCCTTGTGTGAACAGTTGGCTTGCAAGAGCCGTGGATGGATTGGTAGAGCTTTTTTCCCTATCGAGAGCCCCACATTCTCTTATCATTCTAACACTTTCAATAAAATGGCCAAAAAAAAGTTGGCTCTTTTTTTCATGACAGGATTCCCCATCTTAGAAAGCTCACTTTGATATCAAAAGATAATGCTAAAAAGAAGTCAACCTATTCTCATGTTAAATCCTTGAGAACTTTGTTATTCTTTTTTTTTTTCTTCATAATTTTTACACCTTTTAAGATATTGTTTATCGACTTGATTACTATATCCCGATGATTATCTTCAAAAATAAAAAATAAAAAATCATGTATTTGAAGGTACGAAATGTTACCACTGGAGAATCAGTTGGAAATTGCTAATCAAATTGGAACCACGCGTGCTCAAATACTTTCCAACTTGACCGATTACTCCCTCAGTACAAGCTTCCTATAAATATCTGGATATGGCTATACGAGAGAACCAATGGACCAAGCTGAGGTGGTTGCTTCACCGGCTTAGTTGTCCCTTCTACTTCGAAAACATTTTTGTTCCGGCAGAGAAGAATTTACTACCAAGTTTCTGAGGAGGTTTGCGCTGTTTAATCTTTGTATGTGATTATGTGCTTTGTAAGCAAAAATGTATTAAATTATTTTAAGTGGGAAGACCAATTTCTTAAATCCTTTTTAAGGCTTCTAGGTATATGCCATTTTTATTTAAATTGTTTAATTATTCTTCTTTTTTATCTACGATATTATATTTCAAGCAGTGGACGTTTCAAAACATTTTGCTTCTATGATTACATTGAATGGAAATTTTGATAATCTGCTTTCCCTTCTATTATTATTAGGAGCAGTTTAGAACAAGGTGCACAGGCTAGGCTCAAATTTGGGAAGACTTAAAATTAGGCGAAATTTTTAGGTATGAGTTATGTATATAGCTTTGCATGTGAAAGGCATGAGTATGTGTGATGAACCTGATTGGAGAAAACTATTGTGTACTTAGAGTACACAATAGTATACGGTTATGTATATACTCCGGACGGTTCTACAATTGTATATTTTTTCTCTTCTAAATGTAGATCTATATAAATCAAATAGCAAACATAGTCCCAGCCCCCGCGAAAGATTATTTTGTGCGGACACCGGACGGGAGAACCGTCCGGTACCGAGTGCTCGGTATCAAGCGGTACCGAGCACTCGGTACCTAGTGCGGTACATTTTTTGGGCGACGTGGTGCATTCTTATTGGTTTTCGGATGAATCCGGACCCACACATAATATTTTTTCCATCCCTTAGAGGCTGTCGTCCTAGGGTGATTAATGTCACCTATACTTTGCCACTTTTGAGGCTCTTCAGTCAATAGAGGTTTCACCAAATGTCATAAAGAAGCAATAAAAAAAAAAAGAGGTTTTACCAAATGTTGTTGTGATTCCACCATGTTAGGCCTAGGGCTATGGTTGCTACTCTTTTATTGGGTTGCTTGAATTTGTTGCTACTTATTTACACATCCTTGGCTCACTCAAATTCATTTAAAAAATGGTATCATTTAACATCTACAATTGTCATTAATTCAATGTAAATAAGTCATAGTTATTCCTAAAAGTATTCTAATAAAATTTGTTGTAGATCTTCAATTCAATGTAATGGTTGTCGAGTTCCTTGCAAGCTAACCATCTTTACAATCCATTATGGATTTTTTTTTTTTTTCGCACCCCAAATCTTCAATATGAAATGTTTGACAAGTTCCTCGCCATCTAACGATCTTTAAAATCTGTAATGGTTTAATTTTTATCCTACATTTCGTCAGAGAGTTTTTACTTTCTCACCTCAACTCCAAGCATATCATTTTGAAAATTTTCTGGGTGGATCATTCTTCTATCTTTGTGAATATATTGATTATGATTACTATTTTCTTATGAAATTAAGCAAATGATAGCTTGACTTTGCGTTCCCTTCAAAAAATCTTATTGCACTTATTTTGATTTCATTTCCCCACATTAGGTTACAGTTACTCAATATATCATTATCTACTGATTTGATTCTATTTTTGGTGTTCCTTTATGTGTTGTTTATCTCAATTGCAAAATTGTTTTTCTTTACTCTAGGGGTGTAAGTGAGCCAAGTCGCTTGCAAGCTGGCTTAAACTCAACTCATTAACAAGCTCAAGAGACGAGCTTACCGAGCCATGAGTTCGAGCGCGAGCTCAACCTAGCTCGACTCTTAAGCTTATCGAGCTGTTTGTTTAGCTTAAAATATATTTCAAAATTAATTTTAGAAAAGTATAATAAAATATATACTAAAATTTTTTAATTATTTCTTAAATCATGTTTGAGCTTTTCAAATGAGCTCAAGTAATCAAGCAAAGCTAGAGCCTAATAATTTTCAAATGAACAGAGTTCAAGCTCATTAAACGAGCTTAGCTAGCTCGATTAGACATACACTTGACTCATTTACACCCCAGTCTATTCTAAATATTAGACCAATTCCTATCATTTATGGATTAAATTGTTGACAACATTGGAAAGATGGTAAGCTTTATAAAGACTTACATATGACTATATAAATAGATGTGGGAGTGTATAAAGAATTGTTAGGCATTATTATTACTTGCAATGCCATACTTGTATAGTGTCTTACATATGATTTCTAATTATGCAAGATATCATCATAAAGTTCATTGTAGCTAGTTTTAAATGAACATGCTCTACATGTAGAGATTAATTATGTACAGCTTTTTATAAAGGGATTCTCTATTAAATTATAGCATTATTGCAGCTACAACATCATGAACTGTACAAAGCAAATAATTTGCTTACCATATGATTCTGTCTTTTCGCCATTTGTCTTTCCACTTCTCCACTTTTCAAGATTCAGATGGTTCCAAAATGTTATACCTTTCAATCTCTGTCTATGATTAAATGATTGAGAAATTTTCAATTGATTGGACTGTAGCAGCTTCTTTATGATGTTTTCTATAATCTGAAGCAATATAATCTGCAGTTTTGATTGAATTTGAGTGCTGTTCAAGCATCATAATCAAACATATAAGGGCACTCATGAATTCTTTTCATATTCACTGAGCAATGTGATTGCATGGGTGTCAAAATTGGGTTTCGGGTCCGGTTTGGGTCAAACTTTACCCGAGTTCATACGGGTCGAACTTGACCCGACCTGGTTATGTAAACGGGTCGAAAATTCACACCCGGTCCTGACCCATCGTGTTATCGGGTTGAAACTCAGAAGTTCCACCTAAAATTCATAGAAGTCAAACCTAATAAATTATTTTACTGGAAACCAATTTGATAATCTTTTTATTTTAAATTTTAAATATGAAAATTGCATGCTTGAAATAGTTCCCAACTATTCTTAAGTGATTAATTTAGTCATAGAGTTTCGTACTGTCTTAATTTTGTTCTTTGATTATTGAAAAGTAATCCAATTTAGTTCTAGAGTTCAGAATAATAGTTAAAATTAGCAAAAAAAATAAATCTGAGAGTATTTTAGATAATGTAAGTATATGTGTTATACAGTTATTTATGTTGTTTTATTTTATCATTTAATAAATAATGATAAATTATAAAAATTATAATGAAAGTTAATCTAATAAATAAAGATAGTTAATAATTAGTGCAAAAAAAAGTATTTCATATTAAGCAAAATTTTGAAAACCATCGTTACAAAAAACATTGTCATTGATTACAAAACTAAAAAAAAAATCATTTTTTACAAAAATAGTGTCCTTGGTCTCCAAAACCCTTGTTTAAAAAAAAATTCGACTGATTCACTGCCCAAAACCTAGCTTGCACCACTTCAAGACGTTGATTCATCAATCTGGCTTCAAACTTTTGAATGCATAGTCACAAACCTTTGCTATTAACACATTATTCGTCGAAAATCGACACTTGCTTGTAACAACATAAATTCTTAATTATTAAGATATTGTCCAATTTTGCATGGTTTTGTCTTATTGGTGTAACTTTTCAGGAGATCACCAATACCAAGATTTCTCCGGAATGATCATGCTTAACTACAAAATTTCTTAATGAAATTTCAATCATTATACCAAAATGTGTCTCAATATTTAAGAGTTTAGATTATTTTAACTTAAGGGGTTTCACAATCTCTCTCACTTAAATAACTGATATCCTTGTTAGTATCTTCATCCCAGAATCATCCACTAGGCAGATAAGTTTTTTGAGGTGGCCTCTACAAGTTCAAGTAGTGACTCCCACCACGTAGCAATTTATTCTATGCAAGATTCAAGAGAAGGCTCTCATGGCATAACACTTTATCTTGTATGACACTTAGTTCCTATCTTCTGATTGGTGTATTGCTCTGATAATATTTATAACAGCTAAAACTCTTAACTATTAAGATATTGTCCACTTTGACCTGAGGGCTTCGCGGTTGTTATGTTGATGTAACTTCTCAAGATGTCATCTATCCCAAAAGTTCTCTAGGATAATCACACATGTCTGTGGAATATCGTAATGAAATTTCAACTATTATATCAAAGGACGGCTTGATGTTTAAGAGTTTAACTTCTTTTTACTCAAGGGTTTTACAATGTTGCTTTTCGATTCTCATTACATGTTGCTTCGGCTTTCTTAGTTTAAACTCTACAATCATTTGCCTCTCCATCTCCCACTCACATGAGATTATTTCATGATAGGATGAGCTATAACATACTAAGAAAATGATATTAAAATATCTTTATTAAAATACCCCTCATACATTTTAAAATATAATAAGAAAATAGTAAAAAAATAATAACCAAATGAAATTATAATTTTTTTTGGGTAAATTGGGGGCAAAGCCCATATATTGAATCAAAAGGGACTACAAATTAGAAAAATAAAAATAAAAACCTCAAAAACAAAATACAAGTGAACCTCTATACCCCCATGAACAAAAAGGAAGTATAAAAAAAGGTTTATTTTATAAATTTATATCTCTACTCTTTAAATTTTTATATTTATTTATATAATCTTAATTATCTCAATCATTTCAAAACTTTTGGATATTTAAAATAATTAAGATGTAATTGTAAGGCAAATGATTTTTTTTTTCTCTTAATTTGTCTAAACCAAATTCAACCATAAGAAAAAAAAAGGTTTATTGATGCTTTTAAGTGCTCATGGTAATGACTAATGACTATTGACGTCCCTTTTAAATTTTATTTACGGTTTTGAATGAAAAGGGTTAAATTGTAATAAAAAAGAACACAGAGGTTTATCTTGAAAATTTTACGTGTGTCCTTTCAAGGACAAGTGGGGGCAAAGTGTTAAGCACGAACATGGTCTTCATGTGCTGAGCAGAAATGTTGGTGTCACCATCAGCATCTTTCCTCTCTCTCTCTCTCTTTAGGCTCTCTCTCTCCTTCTCTCTCTCTCTCTCTCCTTCTCTCTCCCCCCCCCCCCCCCACTCTCTCTCTCTCTCTCTTCCTCTTTAATTTTAATTTTTTTATTTGTAGGCCCTCTCTCTCTCCTTCTCTCTCTCCTTCTCTCTCTCTCTCTTCCTCTATAATTTTAATTTTTTTATTTGTAGGGTCACTTTCCACATTAAAATTTTTAGAAAGTAAATAAAAAAAAGAATTTTTACATACATAACACCTAAAATTATTAAAAATACATATTTAACACCTAAACTTTTATATTTACTAATATACCACCTAAAACCACTCTTTTAATCAATTATAACATTATATTTAAACCTTCCCTCAAAAAATTACTATCAACGACTGTCTTCCCCATCAACGACATCCTTTCACCGTGAATACATGTATCTCATCGCTTCAAAGGAGTGGTAGAATAGTAGGAAAATGAAATTTTAGGTGGTATATTAGTAAATATATAAGTTTTGATGTTAAATATGTATTTTCAATAGTTTTAGATGTTATGTATGTAAAAATTCAAAAAAAAAAAAAAAACATTTAATGATGAATTTTCAATTTTCATAACATAAAAATCTTTCTTTCAATGTAATAGCCTAATAATTTTAAAACCTTCTTTCCTCCAAACCTCACAAAACTAATACATTGAGCTTCCCATCTCACAAGGAAGGAGTTGAAACTTCTATTACGATGTCGTCTCTGTAGCACCATCGTCTCTTCTCTCCTCTTCTATTGTCGATCTCGATTGGATAAGATTTAATAGTAATCTCATCTGAAATAGCTCCTCATCAACATCTCTAGTCACAGGACAAGAAAATACCCTTAAGTCATCATCATTGGCTCTCTTCTATATTAATGGGAATCTGATACTTGCCTTCTCACATGATCAAGGTGGACCTCTTGTTTCTCTTTGCAACAAACTTGAGAATACCAAGATAGCCTTTAATAAGTTCAACTGGAACTCATAAAATTACATTTCCAAAATGATCACCGATCTGAAAGCATAAAAAAACTCTATTTTTAAGATTTAGGAAGGAAACCCCAACAATAACGCTCTTCTTTAACATGCTCTCATTACACAATCTTCTTTAATTGAAGCACCAAATGTGAAAATGAATGGATTATGCATGGAGCAAAATGTGTATGGTTTATCAAAGATGAGGATGATCTCAGTTTCCTTAACCAAAGAAATTAAATGCAGAAAGAATCACAATCATGTTAGATAGAGCTGTCAATATTGGACCCGACCTGAAAACCCGACTCGAAAATTTCGCGTTTCGGTTGACCTGAACCCGAAGCGGGTTGGGTTCGGGTCTGAAAAAAAAAACCCATTTGCAAAATCGGGTCTGGTTCGGGTTGACCCGGAAACCCGGGAATGACCTGATTTGACCCAGAATAACACGTAAACCCAGTTATCGGCCCCGTGTCAACCCCGCGTCACACAGTCCAGGCCCAACCGTTTGCCCCGCAGTCGAGCACCCAGCCCCGCGTCGCGCAGTCGACCGCCGGCCCTGTTGCGCCGCGGACCACTCGCCTCGTCTGCCGCCTGCCGCTGCCCCGTGCCGCGAGCCCTCGCACTTGCCGCGTTCCGCCTAACGCGTTCCGGTCTCTTAACGGGTTCCCTAACCGTTCCGCCAGTGCGCCACTCCCCGCCTGTCGCTGCCGCGGCTAAACAAGTGGGTTCGGGTTGACCCGAACCCGAAGGCGGTCGGGCTCGGGTTTCCAGAAAATTGCCGCCTTTGCAAAAACGGGTCGGGTCGACCTGAATCGAATGTGCCAGGTCAATTTCGGGTTTGACCCGAACCCGACCCGTGACCCGAAATTGACACCCCTAATGTTAGAGAATTAAGTACTTCTCATGGCATCATATACTCATTTGAAGATATATTAGCTAAAACAATTTCTTACTTCTACAATATATTTAATATGGAAGATGACATGCATACTCAAGTATTTCATAACTTCCATCTCGACTCTATCTTAACTGAAGAGGAATAAACCAATCTTTTCAACTTGAATCGATCTCAGCCTTAGCCTCCCCTCTCTCGACATGTTGCACTCTTATTAAATCCAAACTTTTATGAATATTTGGAATTCTAACAGTTTACTCTATCAATGATATTTCAATACTTATGTGTCTATTTGGAGTAAGTCGAACTAGTACACATTCTTGTTCTAAAGAAAATTATATAATTTAGCCTAAAAATCTAGACCAAACATGACTGTTAGTATTTGAATAGTACTAAGCTTTTTTTTCCTTTTTTTTTTTACTCATGGATGAATGGACTCCTAATGGTAATCAAGAATAACTAATCACGATTATAAAGACTAAGCTACTTTTCATAATAAAGGCTCCACAAGTACCAGTACGAATAAGTAATAATAGCAAAAAAAAAAAAGAATTAAGGATTAATTAAGTGCTAATCACCACATAATTGCATAATTAATAGGAAATTAACTGCCATTAAATAATTCAGAACTTTATTTAAAAAACGTAGCACGGGCACGGGCAGTCCACATGGCCTCTGCTGCTCTCGCAGCCGTTGTCCTTCGCAGATCAGTAGCGGTCACAGTACCCAAATATTATTTTTTCTCTCTCTTCGAATTTTTCTTTATTAAAATAAAAATCTTTTATTATAACTTTATCTTATAGTAAATATCTAAAATTATTAAATAAGATCAAAGCGTACTATAGTGTACCTTTTTCTCTCTCTCTATATGACTTTCTCTTTCTATCTCCTGAGATTTTTTTTTTTGTGGAAATTTGTTCTAAGAGTAAATGATATAAAAATGAACAGAAATTCTCTATCTAATAACTCGCCATCAAAAGTGAGCAGCAGCACATGCATCATAAAAGAAGGAGAGAGGGACCAACGGAAAACTGTCATACGGTTAATGTGGAAAGCCCAGCAGTCTTTGTTAAAAACAAACGGCCACATAGTTCATCTTGATCTGTTAGTTGAGAGCTTATACTTTCAACTAAGAGGTCTTGGATTCTGAGTCTTTGTGTATGGGTTGTGTGTATGAGTTTACCTTAAATAACCTAAATGTCCCAAAAAAAATATAACAAACGACCAGATGTCTTTGTTTGAAGAAATTATTACATGCAGAGCTCGGACGAGAAGAATAGTTTGAATTGCTGTATATTTTTTAGTATTTATAAATACTTTGTAAAATATTGAGAAAATATATGGTAAATTTATTTTACTTACAAAATATTTAGCAAATACTTACTAAATATTCAGTAATACTCATAACTGAGTATTTGTTGAGTATATACTGAGTATTTATAAATACATAGCAAATATTCAGTAAATACTTAAAAAATTCAGACGGTTCTCCCGTCAAGGCTCCGCACGGAATAATTCCTCCTTTGTTTGGGAGGGACTGTTGATTTGATCGGACGGTTTGGAAATATGCATCGGATCTTGGTATAGAGTATGTTTTAGGGGATATTCATATTACAAACTTCTAATTTAATTTCTATATATTTAATATTTAAATATTTATATTTATTCATATATTATTTTAGTGTCTAAATCATAATAAAATGGACAAATGAAAATATTTGTTCTAATTAAAAAAATAATATTAGTGATATTTTATAAGTGATTTAGAGATTTGAGTGTTATACAAATAAATATAAAAATTATGTGTTAAATATATAAGTACATTAAGAGTAGGAGTGTATTGCATTGGATGATTGGAGAATAAAAAAAACTATAATTAATTTTATATTTATATCAAAATTTAAATTATATAAAGTACAAAAAATGATATATATATAATCTTAAATGGGAGAAATTATTAAGTACTGATTAAAAAGGTTTAGAATATACATCCAACCAATCAAAAATTGATACGTGGTACCTAACATACAATTATACATGAAAATATATACATATTTCTCATCAGCGCATTATAATTTCCCTTTAAAGAGTCCCCCACGACGCTCATGGCTCCTACTGCCTTTCTTTCCCCCACCACCACATGCCTCTTCTTCTCCTCCTCCTCTCTATAAAAGCCCCAACAAAACACCCAACTCCTCCCACAACTCTCCTTCCTCTCCCCTTCCTCCACATTCTCCCAAAAAGCTCTCTACTTTCCCACTCTCCCACTCTTCCCATCTTTATTCTCCTTTTCCTCCGTAAAAATGGCGCTTTTGAAGTCGAACAAGCTTCCACCAGCCACAACTCTAAGGCAAATACTGAAGCGATGCTCAAGCCTGGGGAGAAAAGAAACCATCAGCGATCTTCCCGTCGATGTTCCAAAAGGGCACTTCGCCGTCTACGTCGGCGAGAAGCGCCGCCGCTTCATCGTCCCCATCTCGTTCTTAACACACCCTGAGTTTCAGAGCCTTCTTCAGCTCGCAGAGGAAGAGTTTGGTTTTGATCATGAGATGGGTCTTACTATTCCTTGTGAGGAAGTTGTTTTCTGCGCTCTAACTTCGGCGCTGCTGTGAGGAGGTGGATTTTACCTGTTTGAGAAGTGAGAAGTGAGGAGAGGGAGAGCTCAGAGCAGAGTTATCTTCTGTTTTAAGTTGTTTTTGTTCTGCTTTGGCCTGTTCCTCTTCTTCTTCTTCTTTACTTCTTTTTGTTTATATTATTTGGGACTTTTAGTGATTTGGATTTGGCAGGATTAATGACCACCCAACTCAGGATGAGTTTGATTTGTGTTTGCGGTGGAGCCGCCCCGCCCTGTAAGATGTAAATGCTGATATATATAATGAAGATAGGGGTTATTCCCCTGCTATTTTAACTCTCTTTATGAAATTTAATTTGATCTGTGGGTTGAGAGTTTTTGTTATTAATTAAAAAGTTTTGAGTTTGAGTCTTGTATATTTTATGTGTGTATGAGTTTATCTTAATCGACTTAAATATCCAAAAACAAAAATCTCTCTTTGTGTTAAGATCTTAGTTTTAACGAATGATGAATGGTGTCAGCACTAGCTTAAGGCTTTATTTGGGACGGTTTTCTTTCTCTAGTTAAAAAATTTTATTTTTTATACATAAAAGCTGCTTTAAGAAACAATAAAAAAATCGTCTCAAACAGCCTAAGTTGTTGGGGTCAAAATTTGAACACATTAAGGCTTCGTTTGGGACGGCTTTTTACTGTTTTTTAAATAACTTTCTAGTAAAAAATTAAAATTTTTATACAAAAGCTGCTATAATAAGTTTTAAAAAAGTCATCTCAAACGCAACGTAATATACATTATTATTTTTTAATATTTACAGTTTGATGTTTTTTAGTCTATTAGTCAAATCAAAATATATGCATAAAAAGATATTTTTAATTCTAGATAAATATTTTTAATATCATTTAAAATTATATATATATATATATAAATATGCTCTAAAACTATCTTTATTTTATCTCCTTTGTAGAAATTGATGTGGATAGCATGATTTGGTTATATAAATTTTTTTGCATGAAGATAAGGACCTTTCTCCAAAGTTTTGATTATGTTGGCTGACCAATCAAATTAATTTCATACTTAAAAATATTTACTTTCCTAACTATTATAATGAACTTTAATAGATAAGAAATGGTAATGAAATTAAAGTTCATTATGGTCAACTATATTTGATTATGTTTCTATTTGATGTGTCATATCTTAATTGACCCTATTGTATAGTGATATGACACATTTGTTAGTGTTCCTATTTGATCTCAATTGGGTCAATTAAGCCCATTTCGATCACAATATTGGATCTAAAAGGATAGATTCGGTTAAGATTCAATTTAATTTGGATTAGGCTTGAGATCAATTATTCATACGTTGATCATTAGGTGAGTAATGAAAGGTTTAGGTTGTTTGGTTGGGTTGATAGGCCTGAGTTCCTAAATGATCTTTTTTTTCTTTTCAGCCTTCAATAATTACTCATAATTGTACCTCATTAGTAACCACTTCACTGTCACTCATTTGCAACACAGCTCTCCTTATAGATATAATTTTGATCAATCAAATTATCATTCCCTTCTTCTTGCTTTTGAGCTATAGGAATCTTATGATCATATAAAGTCGTCTAAACAATTAGATGAGATAATAATCCAAAATCCACACCAACTATCTTCTAACTTCTTCATCTCATAAGTATTTCTTCTATTCCTCATATGTGTCAAATACACAAACTTTTCTTCTTTCATATCATAGCAATATGCATGGATTGTATAGTTGATGATAACACCCCTCTAACATCTTGAAAATAAACCCTCTCATTTCCCAAGTGTAAGGTCATCGATCATTATTCTCAACCAATCTATCTTCCAAATCACATTAAATTTAGTTAAGGATAAATACAATTGACTCAATCTTAAACCTCTTAGTAGAAATTTCAATACCACAATTGCACGTATAACTAGTAACCATGCATGCTAACCTCAGTAGTAACATAATAGATAAACTAGTATGCAATAAAAAAAGAAGAAGATAAATACCCAGAAGTATAAAAGTTTTTAGTTATACAAAAATGGATAACACTATAATCAAATTAAAATTTTATAAAATTGATCAAAAATATAAATGACATCTATTAAAACATCCAACATATCATTTACTTCCTAGTAGGTTCAATTGTAATCTTTAATTTACATTAAAGCAAGACTAGCTAAAACAACAATCTATGCATAGCTCAGAGAGAGGGATGGAACCACAGGGAAGAAGTTCAACGGAGAAGAGATCACAAAGGAAGAATGGGCAAAATTACAAAGAAATAAGGTCAAATGGGATTGCAAATAAGCTAGGGCTGAGCTGAATTACAAAGAGGCTAAAACTGAGTGAGTTAGTATTATTCACTTAATGAAATAAATCAAAATTTTCATTGTTGATTAGGTATACAAGCATTACTAGAAGTTATAATTGTTAGCATTACTTTGTAGTTATTTAAATTACATCAAAATATGATGGTGATTTAAATTGTTTCTTGTAATTTTTAAATTGCAACTAAAAATTGTTGCCTTTGATGTAGGGGTGCCAATTTTTTACACGACCCGAAATCCGACCCTGACGGGACCCAAAAAATTCGGATTTGAGTCAACCCTTTTGTGAAATAGTTCGGATCCGGGTTTGAATTTTCGACCGGTTTGAAAAACGAGACAGGTTTGGGTTGCCTCAGAAACCCATGGGTCGGACCGAATTGACCCAAAAGTCGCGTTGCAAACTCGCTCCCGCACAGTCACACTGATGGTTATTGATGCATTCGACCCTTGCGCGCGCCCACCGGCCTGCGTAGCTGTGCTCGCAACTCGGCAAGCCACACTCCCTCCGTCCTGCACGGTTGTACTCCAACCACCCTGCACCGGCTTCAGTGCTGCCCTGCTCGTCTTCCCCGCACGTGGCTTGACCCCACACTGCCCGTCCTGCCTTCCCCGCACATCCACGCTCGCATTCAAACTAACACAAACTAACAATGGAGGACTCGAGTTCGGACTCATCCCACAGCACATGGGTTAGCGGGTCGGGTCGGGTCAACCCGGTAACCCTATGGGTCAGGTTCATGTGGAAAAATCTGACCCGTTTGCAAAAATGGGTCAGGTTCGGGTCAACCCGCTTAAGCACAAGTCAATTCAAGTTAAACCATAATCCAACCCGTTGACCCAAATTAACACCCCTAATTTGATGTCAATTCTTAGTAATGAAAGAGGAAAAACAATAAATTGAATAAGATATTATTTCAAATAATATATAAGAACAATAATTTTAGCCGGATTCTACAATGAAATGTGATGTACATTTCCTCAAATTGCTTTATAAATATGCTATGATTGTGGGCCTAGCTCATAAATTTCTGAGTATTTATCAAAAATACGACAAAATACTTTTCCTACTCCATGAGGTCAAAAAGGGCCAAAGGTTCTAAAAAGACTTGTGTTTAACATCTTAATCTTTTAAATTTAGAAAACTAATTAATGTCTAAATTATTAAAACAACTAATCACACATCTAATGATGAATAATGTGTGCTATTAAGTGTCTAACATTCTGATTTGTTAATAATTATAATGATGTACTAAAGTGATAAATAATATTAAAATTTTGACAATGAATATTAAATTAAGTTAAAATGAGAACATACATAAAAAAATAGTTTATGAAGTGAATTACACTACATTTGTGAACAAATTTTTGCTTCTTCATTTCACAGACCAATTCAATTAATTTCATTATTTAAAACTATTAATCAAATGCCTCTACTTTCAGTTCATTATTCAACTAAGATTTCATTTGGGACAGCTTTTTTACTTCGTTTGGGATGGTTTTTTTATTGCTTCTTAAAGCAGCTTTTTAGTACAATTTTTTAAAATTTTGTACTATAAATTGTTTTAAGAAGCATGAAGAAAGTCGTCCCAAAGGAAACCTAAGTCTAAATCACCACTTCTATTAGTGAATGCTACTAATTTGAGTGAAACGAAAACAGAGAAAAATGAGAAACTTAGGACTTCAATATTCTTAAATTTGCACTGAGATTATCATTATATACGATATCATAAATTGCACTAATCTCAGCATAAATTCCTGAACTTTGAAAGCATTTTAATCACACATCATCGTATCCGGACAAATTTTTTTTCCTCAACATTTGATTAGTCATCTATAAATCTACTCTTAAGAAAAAATTTCCAATCAAATTGAATCATATTGATATTTCATCAATTTAAGCTATCAAACCTAGCATAGATATTGCCTTACATAGGTTTAGCTTCTATCTCTGGATAGAGAGCTTTCATATAATCACTTTTGAAACTTTATTTAGATGAGGAAAAGCATATCTACAAAGTTAAAAGTAGATTGATGCTATCCCATTCTAAGGGCACAGACTTACCTTTTTATGGTTGAGCACAAAGCATACCAACTTGGTCTCCCTATTCAATAGCTAATATTATATATATGCCTCCCCCTCTCTCATGATTATTTGCCTAAAATGCCCCCAACCACTTAAAACAGGCCATGTGTTACCACCTCATCTGCCTAATGTCCACGTCAGACATGCAACACATTTGGAGATAATGATACAAATATTTTAAATAAGAAGAATAATTATATTATTTAGTGTGGGCTTTATTGAATATTGACAGAGAATCTTTGTTAAGGGTTAGGTCAAAGGGACGAAAAATTATTCTCTGCGGATGTTAGATAGCATCCGGAGATCAACCGGAACGTACCTCGTCATTTTTTTGCTCGGTATATATCGGTGCTTGGTACCGCTGCGTACCAGGTGACGTGGTGCTTTCTGGTTGGTCTTCAGATTGTCCGATGTCTGTATAGAATAATTTCTCAAAAGAGAGAGTGCTTTCATATAAAAATAAATAAATAAATAAAAGAGTTGAAATTTTAGCAAATCATTAGACCTTTAATTATATGATTTTATATTTTAGTGATTATTTGCTCATTCATTAGTGTATATTAGGCATGATTTAGGCCTATGATGATTAAACCCTAAAAAGAGCCATATGCTAAAAGATGCTTCTTTATTTATTTCAATACAAATTTTTATTTTTTAAAATTTTTTTATTGAAAGGCAATAAATGGATTTGATTGTCTAAGCAATAATTATGATTTTTTATGTTATAATATTTATTTAAACTTTTTTAAAATATATGCTTTAATGAAATCCTTGGAAATGAAGAGAAAATCATGACGAGATCTCGTTGGGGACGAAGAGCATAAGAGAAAGTTGAGACGAGATCTTGATGGGGAAAGGGATCTATGGGATCGACAATGTGTGATGATGAATGAAGAAGACACATAAAAGTTTGATTGGACCTCGATGAGG